GGGGGGGGGCGGCGGCAGGCCAAGCACAAAAACATCTCCCGGCCGCGGCCGCCACTCTTCGATTGACAGCGTCATCTATAGACGACATGGATCCCTCTCTGTACAAGTGTATCGGGGTGTGTGCCCCCCAACCTCCCACCCAATCCTATACCATTATCCCCCCCCCCCCCGCGGAGCAGACGCCTCCACAACCGAACCCATCCGAAAAGTAACGACGACAACAACATAACGGTGCGCCACCGCTGCTGCCGCGATTAAAAAAGATGGAACTGAGACCGGCAATGCGGTGCAACTTAACGGGCCACACCATGATGCGGTGCAACTCGTCGTCCGGCTATACACCGCTACACACACGGCGCTTAACGCTCACGCCCTACTGACTACCGCAAAAACTGCGATGTGCACACCTTCTAAAAACACAGCGGCAGGAGCAGCAGCTCACGACCCACGAGCCTCCGGCGTCACCACAAAATAAAACTGACTCAACCAAAGTCCCCATCGAGAGCTGTACGCACCCGCCCGCCCACCCACCGACCGGCTATGGCGGGGACACAACGAGGGCTAGGGCTACATGGCTACGGCGCGCCTTCTTCGGCCCGCCGGTCGGAACCGCCGCTGCTGCTGCTGCCGCCGCCGCCGCTGCCAACACCGCCGCCGCTGCTTCCTCCCCCATTGCTGTTGCTGCTGCTACTACTGCCGGCGGGATTTGGCGCCTTCTCGTGTGGCTTGGCTAGGCTGAGGAGCTCCGTGATCATCGACGTTGGGTCTTTCGGGTTACACCACACCGAGTTGACCCCCTCGCTCAGTGCTATGTTCACCTGTTATTGCCGTTGTTGTTGCCATTGTTGTTGTTGTTAGCGCATGCTTGTGTTTTCCAGTTTAGGTCGCGGCGACTCGGTGACAAAGAATGGAACAAACTTGAAGGACAATAACAATTGAAATAACAAATGCAATAACAATTGACATAACAATTGAAATAACAAATGAAATAACAATTGAAATAACAATTGAAATAACAATAACAATTGACATAACAATTGAAATAACAAATGAAATAACAATTGAAATAACAATTGAAATAATATTTGAAATAACAATTGAAATAACAATAACAATTGACATAACAATTGAAATAACAAATGAAATAACAATTGAAATAACAATTGAAATAACATTTGAAATAACAATTGAAATAACAATTGACGCACACACAAAGATAGACCGCCTGCTTGCTGAAACCACTATTTATTTACGACTATAATACCAGCACTGCTACTACCGTGATTTCTACCTGACGTGTTGCCACTCGATGAAAATTGCGGTTTTTCGCCCCTTCAGCTTCGCCATGGTAGAGTAGCTTTTGTACCTCTTTCTGACCAACAACAGTCCCGGCACCTTCCTTATCTTGGTCCCAAAACAAGGTACACGTACCGACGGTGGGGTCTATGGATGAACGGGGCATATAACGACGGCTACCATCTAGGCATCGAGACCGAGGTGATACGCTATAAGCACAATCACACAACAGACTGACTGCAACCTGTTCAAGACAGTGCACCCAAACGAACCGATGGGTCGACGTTGTTGCTTCTGGTTCAAGACATGTATGTATGTACTAGGCTAGGCTGGGCGTGGTTGGTCTTACGTTGTTCACGTCGTCGTCGACAAGGAGGGTGCTCGCGCGTGTGATGCTGGCCGCGTGGGTCTGCGTAAGTTCCTCCGCTGCCGAAGCCATGTGAGACTGACAGGAGGCGGGCAGCGGCGGACACAGGGACGCACACACGTGTTTAGGCGACGG